AGGGAAGTAAAAAGAGAGTTTCCCACTATGTTTTGTTCCTTTTGAATTTCATATCATACACCTGCGATGGGAAAATGTGGCTGTTGAGAGTATGATGATGGCTTTTCTACACTGTGTGAAATCAAGGTTCAGAAGAGCAGCTGCTTGGATTCTCTCCGAATTATGATTCATATAAAGCTGCCTCAGTTAGCACCCCTCCCCACGCACACCCCCCTTCCCCACCCCCCCGGACGTAAGAAAAAATGGTAGGGGCTGTGAACGTTGACTTCCCTGTTATATCACCAGCATCTAGCCTAGATGAGGAGTATGTCTTAGACTACCAAGATTCTAATCTGAAGAACAGAAAAATGGAGAAGCCATAGAGAAAAACAGACAGGTCAATGGGCAAGGCAGACTCAGCGACAAAAGCATTTAGGAGTGAAAAGAAAGGGCTTTGCAAAAATGTTGCAAGGGGGTCAGACTCCATGCAGCCTCGGAGGCAGCCTGCCCGTTCCCTACCCGGGCTGTGTGTCTACAGCAAAGTGGAGAGGGCTGTGGAGAGATGAAGCCGGAGACGTGGGCAGGGCCAAGTTGCTATGGGCCCTGGAAACCATGCAAAGGAGTGAGAAGAAAAGAGGGAAGTTAGAAAGAAACTGAAAGCACAAGCATATTGTTCAGACTACTCTGGCTTCAAGAGTCAGTGGCCTAAACCAAAGAGGGAATGTACTGGCTTGTGTAACCGGAAAGTGTCGGAGATTGGACAATATCATCAGGATATTCTTTACCTTTCCCTGTCCTCACACCCACTTTTTGTGCTGGCTTCCATCTCTTATAGCCTCTTTCCATATGCTGGCTTCTGGCAACTCCAGCTTTGTGATGAACAGATAAGTGCCCTACCAGTTCCTGATAGTTCCAGTAAAAATCTTAGAACTGATTTTCATTGGACAACTTGGGTCATGTCCCCATCCTTGAAATAACTATGTTCAAAACGTTAATAGGTCAGGCTCGGGTCATATGATCACCCCTAATGGGGCAGGAAGGCAGTCCCCCAAAGAAAGTAGAATGCCAAAAGTAGAAAGCAAAACCAAAAGCCCCAGGGAAGTTGTTTCCTTCTCTACACATAAAAATGGGAAAGAATCTTTGGGGAAAGAAAAAGTGAAGATGCTAGAGAAGACAGGGAGATTGTGGGAGCAAAGCCTGGAAGACATGGGAAGGGACGGAGTTCAGGCAGGAACATGGGTGGCTGAGATGATTATGGGCTCGTGGGGCTGGGAAGACCTTCAGCTCCCCTCCCCGCTCCATTACAGGGCCATCTGACATCCACTGGGATGTGATCAGTGATGGATAGTTCATGATTTTGGAAAGTATTGAATTTTGTCATACAGATTTGATTCTTTAAAATGCCTGCTTTTCATTAAACTGAAATCTAGTTCTCAGCTTGCCCTACAGATTAACAAACCTTAAGGCTACTACCTTATCAGATGGTCCTTTAAGTGCCGGCAGACACATTCCTGACAGCATTTTCTCTTTCGGCCAAGCCCACAAGTACTTTTGACTGCATATTAGGCTACAAGATTTCCAGCCTAAGTGTCTTTCTCTGGATTCATGCTCGTTTGTGTGTGTGTCTCCTTAAAAGGCACTAAGCCTCCAGATGAGGCCTGACCACCGCTGAGTTCAGTGAGACCATCTTTTGTTTTTGCTCCCTTTAAAAAATCCTCACCTAAGGATATGCCTATTGATGAGAGAGAGAGAGAGAGAAACAATGTTGACAGAGGAACATCAATTGGTTGCCTCCTGCACATGTCCCAACCAAAATCCCAAAACCTAGGAATGTGTGTTGACCAGGAATTGAACCCATGACCTTTTTAGTGAACAGAATGACACTCCAACCGACTGGGCCACCTCGCCAGGGCTATTTTTGCTCCCTTTATCTGGACGTTATACTAATGCAATTTAAGATTTCATTGGATTTTTTTTTTAAACACTGTATATTACCAACAAAAAACCCAGGTCTTTTTTTCTCATGAATGGTTGCTAAGTCAGGCCTTTTGTAATTATGCAAGTGGTAATGTTTTTGTGTGGTTTGTTAGTGTTTTTTTTTTAGCCAAGAAAATGGAACTTTCTTATTTTTTCTTTTAAATCTCTTCTTCTTGTTTCTTTCAGACCCATCCTGGTTTTGGTCTTGCCAAAACATGACCCTTTATAACCAGGTGGTATAAGACCTGTAGACTCTGCTGCGAAAGAATGGACCCCTCATTAACCCAACTCCTTTGTCACATGTTGTACCACTGATAAATGGGCAGCCTTTCTAGCCCAGAGCTGTGTGTGTGTGTGCGTGCGTGCGTGTGTGTGTGTGTGTGTGTGTGTGTGTGTGTGTGTGTGAGAGAGAGAGAGAGAGAGAGAGAGAGAGAGAGAGAGAGAGAGAGAGAGAGATGAGCTTTGTCCTATGGTCTCAGGTCAGTCACTGGCAACCTTTGCCCCCACTTTAGTTTGTATCAACTGTTCTGGATGAGAGAACACCATTTCACCCCTCTCCCATGGCCAATGAAAGCGTAGTAGCCAGGCCTTAGCCCGTTTTCTCAGTGGTTAGAGTGTCAGCCCTCGGACTGAAGGGTCTTGGGTTCAATTCCAGTCAAGGGAACCTACCTCGGTTGCAGACTCAATCCCCAGTGCTGGTTGGGGCGTGTACGAGAGGCAACCAGTCGATGTGTCTTCCTCACATCGATGTTTCTCTTTCTCTCCATCTCTCCCCCTCCTTTCCACTCTCTCTAAAAATCAATGGAAAAATATCTGTGGGTGAGGATTAACAAAAAGGAGGAGGGGAGGGGAAGGGAGGGGAGGGGAGGGGAGGGGAGGAAGAGTAGTAGCCAGGACAGCTCTAGGGGGCATTTAGAATCCGTCTCAGCTGGCCTGTGTTTTAGAATAGAGCCCTTCAGTGGGAGCCCTGACTAACCATCACCATGTAACCAAGTGGTCTGATGAGCCTTTTACCCACCCACATTCCTAGATACCTACTCCCTAACATTCTTACTGGAACTGAAGACTCTGTGCTGTGCCTGTGTTATCTGAGGGGTCCGGATTCCTTTATGACTCCCTCATCTGGTTCATAGAAGAACCTTTCATGGGGCTATACCTGCTTCCAGAATTCCTCAGGGCCTCTCTGATCTAAGATTTGCATTCCTACATGTCACCTCAGGCTTCTTAGACGAACCCTTTGCATGTAGACGTACTCCAAAGTGAAGTAAAATTCACTTAGTCCTTTGGAATTGATGATTTTTTAAAAATTTTTATTTATTGATTTGAGAAAGAGAAATATCAATTTGTTGTTCCACTTATTTATGCATTCATTGGTTGATTCTTATACTAGGGTATATGCCTTGACTGGGGATCAAATCCATAACCTTGGCGTATCAGGATGATGCTCTAACCATCTGAGCTACCCGGCCAGGGCTGAATTGATTTTGACTGCAGACATCTCCCTGATAGGAGGTGCCTCTTTTGCTTCAGTTCATTTCCAATGCTCTCTCAGCCCCAACACCGCCCTCCTAACAGCTTGAGCTGGCTTACCCACCAGGAGTTCCCAAGTGCTCGAGGCTCTGAGAAACTGTCAATTACGATCATTAAACAAAATGTGCAATTGGGACACTGAGGATGTGGTCAAAAGCAGAGCCTCTTTCCTAACCCAAAGAAGGGAGGTAAATTGTGCCAGGAGTAGATATCAACTGTCCGTTTGTGGCAGGATAGTAAGAAGCTAGGAAAATTCCTTGACACGCAAAATAAGGGAAATTGAGACAAAACAATTAAACAAGGCCAAACTATTTGAGCAATTTACAGCCAGACAATGAATCACAAAGTTTTAATTTCCCCAACCAAGGACACCTAATAGCAAATGGTTTACACATTCTAAACCAGGGGTGGGCAAACTTTTTGACTCGAGGGCCACAATGGGTGCTTAAACTGGACCGGAGGGCCGGAACAAAAGCATGGATGGAGTGTTTGTGTGAACTAATATAAATTCAAAGTAAACATCATTACATAAAAGGGTACGGTCTTTTTTTTCAATAGTTTTATTCATTTCAAACGGGCCGGATTCGGCCTGCGGGCCGTAGTTTGCCCACGGCTGTTCTAGACAGTGCCCAGATAGAACGGCCTGGTCTCAGACCCTCTTCGATGACGTTCTTTGAAAATAAATCTATCCAGAAAATAACCCCTGACATCTCTATATATACATTTTTTAAAAATTTTATTGTTGGAAGTATTATGTATGTCCCCTTTTTCCCCATCGACCCCTTCTAGCCCACCCCCTGCCTCAGGTCTCTATATGTACATTCTGATGAATTAACATATTGAACACACCTGGAAAGCTAATGAATATTCTGGTAAAACCCTCTCCTGAGACCTCCCTTAGGATTCTGGCCAGCCAAAGAGAGATTAAAGCCTCAAGACAAAAGACCCATGGCAAACTCTAGCTAGAGTACGGCCACACCTTGTATCTCTGCTCTCTTTCTCCTAAATTCTAAAGGACCCCACGAGACTTGCAACCAGGGGAGTAGTGGGCAGTGGCAGCTTATCCCAGGCTTACTCCCTGAACCTGTCTCCAAGGCCCCTTTTCCTCTGACTTTCTCTCTCCTGTTGCTTCTTCTACCTTAAGCCCTTCCTTTGTTCCACTGTCCCCAGCTTAAATAAACATACTCTCAAAATCACCTGGACTTGTTTGTGAAATCTTTCCTGCATGAAGTCAAGAACCCATACACTACTGGCTGACCTGAGACAGGCCCACGGCAGGCCTGGTTCCTGGTTCCTCAATGCAAAAAAATAGTGCATAAGAAGTAATTACTAAATCTAACAGGAAATTTTGTAAGAATTCTTAGATACTGAAACATTCTTCCTTACCAATTCAAAATTAGATCAGAAAATGAAAATAATTTTTCTTTGTATTTGTTAGCTTGTCTAAGATTAAAAACTGAAAGCCCAAGCCTATATGTGTGGGACTTTTTCATAGCAAAATAGAAAGAAAGTACCTGGAAGGCAATCCAAATAAAATCATTTAAAAAGAAGTCATGCTGACATATCTGCTGCGGAACTGTTCATCAGAATGTTTAGACCGGATCCAAGAATGTCAATCCACTGGCTCGCATACTGATTATTTTGGGACCGAACACAGAATTCAGAAGGAAAAATATAAGATTAGCACTCAAAGAAACTGCCAATTCTAAATTTAAAGATATTAGCAAATATATTCCACATTTCTTTTATCAAAAAAAGTCAAAATACAGTTTTGTTTTTAATATGAACAGTTTAAAGTGTCTAAAATAAATATCAGTTATTTCAGAACAAAAAATATTAAGAACCATAAGGTGTTAGGTCTTAGAAGAGGAAAGAAGGAAGAATTCGAGAGCTCATGGGGAAGAAAATGATACTGGATTTTCCCCGGGTCTGGACCAAAGACAGAGAGACGTGAAGAAGAGGAAGCGAGAGATGACATGTGGGAAGGGAGGGTGAGGGGGCTGATGCTTCCCCAAAGACCTGGATGTTCCAGTAAAGGAAGGGCGAGAAACTACTTTTAAAAAATTTATTTTATTGATTGATTTTAGAGAGAGGAAGGGAGAGAAGAAGACATCAATTTGTTATTCCACTTATTTATGCACTCATTGGTTGATTCTTTTATGTGCTCTGTCCGCACCTCACCCTTGATACCTTGGCGTTCTGGACAGTGCTCTAACCAACTCAGCTATCCAGCCAGGGCTGAGAATCCACTCTGCTTCCCTCATTAGACTATAGATTTTGTTAGGGCAGCGAATGGATCTGTTTTATCCCCTACTGTAAAACCGATCACCCAGGACAGTGCATGGCATATTGTTGATTCTCAATTAATATTTGTTAAATAAAATTAATGAGTGTGGGCATAGGGACTTAGAAGAGCGGGAAATGCTGGGAATAGCTTTGTTAGTAGTAAACAAGAAATGAATAATGGGGTTACTAATTTGAGTTTAGGTGGCATGCATTTAAAGCGAATCATTTTTCTGAAGTTCAGAAGCAAGAACAGAAAAACAGACAGATGGGAACTGACATGACCAAGAGAGTAGAATGGAAAAGGGGTAAGAGGGTCTGATATGCACATGAGAGCAATAGAGGCTAGGCTGAAAATGGGGTTAAGGGTGGAGACAGAATGAAGGCAGCAATAGACTGTCAAGGTCAGGAGATTACACGTACTTCTAAGGGCTTTAGGACAAAGAACCTCTTTAAAACATCAGTGTAGCATATAGCTTTGTAACAGGCTAAGCATCCAACTCAAATTTTTACTCTAAATTATGTGACGTGGACTGTGATTTGTTTTTCTTTGTAGCCTGGTTTGTTAACTAAATGAATTTTTAAAAGGAGGGGAAAAGGAAGGTAATTAGATAACGACATGATTGACATGTCTTATGTCATTTAAATTATGAGCTATTCAGATCTTTATGCACATATAAACGTCTATAAATATTTGCTATATATAATAATACTCACAAATCCATATTCCATCACAAACACCTGCAGGTATTTTGTGCAATATGGATTAATAACAATGATGGAAAATCTATCAGTTACTTGAGTTGTGTTCTATCTTCTATGCTGTAGGATGAAGCCAAGATCTTGTAAATACTGGGCTTGAGGACCCAGGGAACAAGCTGGAGATTTGGAGTTATTGAGGGCAGAGAACTAGAACCGAATTCCTGGGCATGGGCACCTTGTCCTGATTGGAAAGATAACAATTTGACCAGGACCAAGAACCAGGGGACTAGCCAGGTCGAAGGGAGGGACAAATGAGCAGGTAGTCAAAATCCAGAATTACTGTGTGTTTGCCTCTTTGTAAGAACCAAAAGTCAAATTCTCTGCTAAGACCCTTTAGCCTTTTAAGTTCTTTGCCTTCAGTATCAAATGTACTTTCCCTTCTAGGATTTCCTATTTAAAAGATGAGTTTTTTGAAACTTTTTTTTTTTTTAATATATTTTATTGATTTTTCACAGAGAGGAAGAGAGAGAGACAGAGAGCTAGAAACATCGATGAGAGAGAAACATCGACCAGCTGCCTCTTGCACATCTCCCACTGGGGATGTGCCCGCAACCCAGGTACATGCCCTTGACCGGAATCGAACCTGGGACCTTTCAGTCCACAGGCCGACGCTCTATCCACTGAGCCAAACCGGTTTCGGCAAAAGATGAGTTTTTTGAATGAATTTTCTTATCGCCTCTTGTTGAAATGTGTTCTTTTTATTTTGTTTTAAATTTTTTCATGCCATTTATTTTTCAAATACACATATTTAGGTTTCTCAGGCTGGAAAATTTTCACTTGTGAAAAATAAATGCAAAGGTACATGAGAAGTCTAGTAAAGAAAATATAGTGACTCATTGTTAAATGGGAGTGAGGTGGGAGTGGAGATTGAAAGGAGAAGAGAATTAAAGGAACTTCCCCCCTCCTCCAGCTTTCCTAATCTTCAAAATGTAATATTTCAAGGGACTTCATTGTTCATTTTGAAGGAAAACAAAAAACTCTACACTCATTTTCATATTGCCTTTATAAGTCAGTAATATTAAGATGGAAACAAAGGAAATACCTCTTTATGACTGATCATCTGCTTTAGTCATCCAAATCCTTGAATCTGATTGCACTGCAGATTTGTACTTTTGAAAATAGAATATCTCAAGTATTGTTTTGAAATCTCAAAATGCTTGCTATTAAGTTATTCCTCTTCTGTTTAACTCTGAAACACAAAGAAGATAACATAAAAGGGCTTGTGTGACGTATGGAACAACAATATACAAAATCATCTGGATTAGGCACCTTCCTCCTCTTGGTAAAAAAATGTGTGGTAACACAGTTTTAGTGTGTGGGAATTTTTATTTGAACAAAGCCATCTCAAAATCACAGCCGCATAGTAATTGTTCAGTTTTCCTCTCATGGCCTTGAGACATAGTGGTTAAAAGTTTTGCTTTTATCACAGGATATAAAACCCCTAAGAAACTATTTGAAATTGAATACAGATCTCTGGCCCTGAGACTTCAGATATTTTTCTCCCTTGTTTAGTTATCCAACTATTTTAAAAATCTTATTCTCTTTGATCACTGATAGGAATGTTGGCTTGGCACAGTCATTTTAGCTCCACACTTTGAAAACTCCCAAGTATGAATGTCAACAAGTTAACCAAGGGTTCTAAATCCTCCCCCCCCTCTACCCTGCCCCTCATCCCCATCCCCAAGTATCATTTAATACATTCAAGGTATGACATGTCATCTCATGCCCATCTTTTTAGATCACATAGACTTTCAATTAGCCATTTTGGATTCTGACCACATTTACTAGGAAATAACTGTTTAAATATGTCTTCTAATACATTTCTGATGGGATTCCCCTGGCAAAGGTAGATGCGATTTTTTTAAAACTGAAACCATCCTAGAAATAGACTTGTTTTTGGAAATTGCTGATGAGTTTCCTAGCTAGCCTACATGGAGCTAAAGTGACAATTCCACTGAAGAGGATAGATGGCAGAGAAGGACGAAGGTAGCACTCTGCCAAACAGGCTGTTCACGTCCAGCAGGAGTTAGTTCATACCACACTGCCCCTTCCCACTGTTCTCTCTCTGCTTAAATGTTTTGTCTTCTTACTGTTTCAGTGCTGAGATCCTGCCAAAAATATTAAACTCAATTTGAAAGGAAATGGAAAATATAAAAATAAAACTTCAAAAAATGTTATTACAGGGAGGAATAATTTTCTTTAAAATTCTATTGTTCTATGATACTCCATCTTCAAATAAAAGCCAGTGAAACCAATATCCACTCATCTGAAAATAACACTTTTGATAATATTTACTGAGCTATTACTATGTGCCAGGCACTCTGCTAAATGCTTTATAGTTAGGATTTTATCTAATTCTCACAGAAATCCCAAGAAAGAGGTACTTTTATTGCTCTCATTGTAAAGATGAGGAAACAGATGTAATGGGACCTTGATCTATGAACATTCATCTCTCTGTAACATGCAGACCTTGGGGATATTGAGGTTGCCATAATAAAGCAACTATTGCAATAAAGCAAGTCACAATTGTTTTAGTTTTTCAGGGCATATAAAAGTTAGTATGTTTACATTATACTATAGTCCAGTGATTTTCAATTGGTATTTTCAAAAGCTAGTAAGAATTTTAAAAATATGCAATACCTGACTATTTAGTGGGACACTGGTCTCTTTTCCCTTATATTGTCAAATAAAAATAATGACAACAGTCAACACAACAATAGTCATCCAGTGTGAATGCTATCTTGAAGCATAAATAAACAGTTCATATAATAGAGTTGCATCTTGTTGGTCACATCACATTACAAGGTTGTGTCTGATTGGTTAATTCTTGGTACCAAAAATCCTTATATACCAGCATAGGCACCTAATTTTTTATAAAGTCACTTTGGAGCAAAAAGGGTAGGTAATTACTATTGTAATTTTTAAGGAAATCAATCAAAATTATACTTTTGGGTCAGATCAGCAATATATCACACACACACACACACATATATTGGTGTGCTGCAGAATTTTAGTAAGTAGTTTATGTGTGCCATGAGATAAAAACGTTGAAAACTGCTATAATCTCTTAAATATACAATAGTACTATGTCTTAAAAAAAGTACATACCTTAATTTTTTTAAAAAGAAACACCACTTTATTGCTGAAGAGGGGCAGAAATCACTATAGAGAACACGATCTCTGTAGATTTGGAGTAAATTTTTTGAAGCAGATTTAACTAGATGCCCAATGTATTCACAAAATAACTTAGTATTCCATCCATAGACTATCTAGCTTTGAGTCTTGTACACTCAGCGCAACCTCCTAAGTAAACTAGTTGTAAAACGTACTCCTCCGTGATTTCACGGAGGTGAAATTTGTCACGTGGTTTTATGTCAGCTGCAAACCACAGGGTATTGGCCCCCAAGACCCCACAATGTTGTCAAGGCATCAGGAAGAACAGTTGCCTAGAGACTGTTAGAGGCCACACACTTGTCACCAAGGACTCTTGTTCATGGGTCATCATTATCATCAGATTCCCTAACCTGCCTTCCTCTCCATCGGCACAGGATTTCCTTGTGAAGGTGACAGCCTGAATGCTGCCTAATTAGGCTATGTGATTTCAAGAGTGAATGTACTTCGTTACATTATTTGGTGTAAGGTTCTAGGTCATATCTAAAAATACCCCAGCTTGAAAATTAACCCAATCTCTCGTTTGCTTTTGTCTGGAATATTTTCACTTTCTAGAGAATAATACAGAAAGCTAAATCCAGTATTACGTAAGTGTTATTCGTTTGTTAAAACTATATCTTGTAAGTGAGAAAATTATTCTTTGTGTACATTTAAAAATAATCCCTTTCAGTTATATAACTAGAAATCAGGACCAGTTTGTTTGTGGGCATGTGTTCATACACATTTTTTTTTTATACCTGTCTTGCTTCAAAAAGGATAACAGATGGGTTACAGATACATATAATATAGCGCCAGAAAAAATCTGAAGTTGGTGAAGGAATGGAAACAGAATTTAAGCCAGGAGTGAGTTATGTATATAAAGCGCATCCTGTCTGATCTTATACACAGACCGGAAGGCCACATATATGGCTCTAAGCTTTCTCACAACCAAGGGAAACACTGTTAGTTCCACAATTACGTATTCAGAAGACAAAAACAAGAGATCATAAGCAAGGGAAATAACTGTATCAGGTGCTAAAACCGAGGAAAAATACTTTCCAGATCTTGCTAGAGAGATTATTATAGTCACAAACTCCATGGCACTTTCTTATAAATCCCTTAATGAAGGCCCAAAGTAATAGACCAAAGTGAATTCTTTAAGGAAATCTGAGGAGAGGAAGGAGCCATGGTGTGTTGAGCAAGGCCACTGTGGAGCACATCCACAGGGCACCATGCGTGATCTGTGTCTGTGGCACGTCCTGCGGTGACACAGGGCACAGCTTTCACATCTGTATACACTGGGCTCAACACTGTGGGTCAGAGGAGTTCTGTAACTTTCCTACGGCCCCACAGCGAGAACCTAAATGCTGAAACCTTGTAAAGGAGAAAAAGGAAAGAACCGTATAAGAAGAAATGTCTATGACCCTGCCAGAAAGAAAAGGAACCAACTTGGACCTCAGTAAATTTATTTACATAATGACGGATAAGGGTGAGTGGCCAGGAAGTAGCACATTCCAGTGAGTCAACTCTGCCTACTGAGAATCTCCCAGGTCTTCCTGGATGAGGTCCCACGACTGCCTCCCCAAACCACATTAAATGACTGTGGGAATAAAGGCCCCAAGCTCCAACTCCTGGTTGCATTTCTTTCCCCAGCGAAACAAACTCCAGGCAAAGCTTCCTGCCTCCAATAGCCTACCCAGTACTCCTGTAACATGACAGGACAACACTTTACCATTTTTGTGTCTCCCAATGTTTAGGGAAGGCATGCCACGTGGGCATGGCTACATTTTCTTTCCTTGTCCTTGCTCTTTCCTTGGCATTAAGTTCCTCACCTTCAAAGTTTAGTGGGAAAGACCTGCGCGTAACAATGAAGTACTTCACACAGCAAATTACAGAGGTGAGCACAGGGTTGCTGTGGATTGCCTTGGCCTGTAAGAACAAGCAAAGGTTAATGTAATTGAGCCAGGCAGAAGAGGAGGAGGAGGAGAAGGAAGAAGAAAGTAGGAAGAAAGAAGAAGAAGAAAAAAAAAAACAACAGGAGAAAGGAGGATGTATGGTACCACAAAAACTTGATGTAGCTGAAGAAATTCATACTTTGTGGCACCAATGGAGGGGCCAGGCTGCCTGTATGGTCCAAATCCAGCTCTGCCACTTACCAACTACATGACTTGAGCAAATTACTTAGGATCTGGAGCTTCAAATCCTAAGACATTGAAGGGATAATAATAGCACCTACCTCTTAGGATTCTTATGACAATTAAATGGCTTAATATTTATAAAGCACTTAGACAGTTCCTGACATGTACTATGTACTCAATGAAGAGTAGCTATTATTGTAACCCCGTTGTTCTCTTTCACTCATTCCCACTTTTATTCCATTCTACACAGCCTTACAGATTCTGCCTCTAAAACAAATACCGAGACCATTCACTTCTGTCTCCATCTTGGGCCAAAGAACTATGATTTCTTTCCTGGATTCTTGCAGTAGCCTCCTAACTCGTCTTCCTGCTTCCACTCTTGTTCTCCCACAATCTGATCCACAAAGCAAACAGAGTGATCCTTTGTTGTTGTTGTTGTTAATCCTCACTGGAGGATATCTTTTAGATTGATTTTTAGAGTATAGGAAGGAGGGGGAGAGACAGAGAGAGAAGCATATTGATTGGTTGCCTCCTGCAGGTGCCCCAACCAGACCCAGGGATTGAGCCTGCAACCAAGGTACGAGGTACATGCCCTTGACTAGAATCAAACACGCAACCCTTTAGTCCACGGCCGACGCTAATCACTGAACAAACCAGTTAGGGCCAGAGTGATCCTTTGCAATGGTAAGTCAATCACACATCGTACCAACTATTTAGAGTTCTGCTTATCAGAACTTTAAAAGGTCTTTAATAATGACTCCCTCTCTCTCTCTAACCCCATGCCTTTTGTATTCCCTCTTTTTAAAAAAAATGTCCTTTATTGATTTTTTACAGAGAGACAGTTAGAAACATCGATCAGCTGCCTCCTGCACACTCCCTACTGGGGATGTGCCCGCAACCAAGGTACATGCCCTTGACCAGAATCGAACCTGGGACCCTTGAGTCCGAAGGCTGATGCTCTATCCACTGAGCCAAACCAGTTAGGGCCGCATTCCCTCTTACTCACGCTACTTCAGCCTCTAGCTGCCCGGACATGGCAAGTTTGTCTTGCTAGGACCTTTGCACCTGCTATTCCATCTGCCTTCCCCATCTCTTGTTTTCCTTCTTCTTGTCCTGGAGAACACAGCTCAAATGTCAGCAGAGTGGACTTCAGTTTGAGACACTGAAGTAGCAGCCTACTTGGTTTCTGCCTCTCCCAACCCCCGGCCCCAAGGCGCCCCCCAACCCCCCGCACGCGCTCCCCCACTCCAGAATGTAAGCTCCATAGAGCAGAAACAAAGGCTGTCTTTTTCATTACTGAATTCCCAGTGCCTATAATAACAAATCTGTCTCTCCAACATACCAGGTACTGAATCGGTATTTATTAAATTAATGTCGAGTAGATTAGAATAGAGGAAGAATGGAGAAGGCCGCCAAACATTAAGGCACCAGGGGCCAATTATTATGCGTTTGCAGGAATCCGGTGGGAAATGACGAGACAGTAGCAGTGGTTTTCAACCTTGGCTGTGCATTGGAATCATCTGGGGAGTGATTCTTAAAAACCCTGACGCCTGTGGACCATCCTCAGAGATTCTGATTTAACTGGTGGATGCAGCCTGGGCATCAGGATTTTTTAAAGCTCCACCACGTATTCTACGTGCAGCCAAAGTTGAAACCAATAGCAGAGTGAGTGCAGGGGTGTTTAGAATGTATCATAAGTAGGACATGGTTGCTAATTTTGAATTGGAAGTGGCCAAAAGGAGGGTTTCCTGGGAAAAAAAATCCTAGATTTCTGCCTTGGGCCTGGGTGAATGAGACAGGCAAGTTTTGAGAAAAAGATAAATTCTGCCTTGGACAGACTAAGTTTGAGGTGCCTTTGGGGATTCAAGTGGAGATGTTCAATAGATTTGTTTCTTAATAGACTTACGTTGCCTTAGTGAAGAGTAGGAAATCCCTCTACTTTTCAAGAAGACAAGCAGGAAGAGGCATTCTGGAACATATGACAATTGCAGTGTGCCAGGCCACTCCCACCCAGCACAGCCTCTTTACTCAAAACCCCCTCCCAAGCCCATGCCCCATCTGTTCTGAAACGTTGTTCAACATGTTGACATATTTTCAAGAAGGATTACATTATGTATGAGTACTGTTCCATAAATCCATTTAAATCACTATTCTTGTACTACCTTTAGGCTTAAACTATCCCTTTGATTAAATTGCTGGCAGCCTTCAAATAGCATTTAAAGGAATACACGCCTAACAGCTTAAACATTTCCAATATATGAAAACAAAACATGCCCATCATTACTTCCTTTTAGTTTCGTCGTTAAAGATACTTAAATTGCCTCGCTTGTTTTCTAATTGGTAAACATTTACTGGGTTACCAAAGACACCAAGTACCATCTGAAAGACCATGATTCCTTGGTTTGTTTCTAATTTAAATTAAACACACTAACACAAAGACCGAAAGGGCGATATATTTAGTTAAGTAACAGATGGCAAAGGGACATTCTGTCCAGCATCTATCACATTCCATTTCTCAGTATTCCAAGGAAGAGCACATTTAAATCTTGAAGAGAAATAAACTAGGAAGGAATGGACCTGGTCTGGACTGAATATTTACTCAACTAAGAATTGATAGCAAGTCATGCTTAGGTTAAAAAAACTCAAAAGGGGATATGAACTGGCTTAAAGAATACAAGGAGGTGGCCCGGCCAGTGTGGCCCAGTGGTTGAGCACGGACCTATGAGCCAGGAGGTCACGGGTTCAATTCCCGGGTCAGGGACATGCCCAGGTTGCGGCCCGGTGTGGGATGTGCAGGAGGCAGCCAATCAATGACTCTCTCATCATTGATGTTTCTCTCTCTCTTTTCCTCTCTGAGATCAATAAAAATATATATTTTTAAAAAAGAATATGAGGGGATGGAACAAAGCTAAAGTAATTCCGAATATATCACTAAGAACTGAAATATGAATTCTCAATACTTAAACGACTTTGTGAAATTAGGAAGGGGGGGGGGGAAAGTCAGCGGAAAATATTCTGCGAGCCCTTGCGTAGGGTGTTAAATTGTGGCTCAGGCTGCTCCCCGCAGCCCCCGCGGAAGACTGAGGTCTATTGACACTAACCGGGCGCGGGCGGGGGAGCGCCTCCCTCCGGGAGGGACATTCCCCGGCGGACAGCGGACGGCGGGCAGCGGACGGTGGCAGGACTCGCCGCCCCGCCCGGCCCCCCTCTCCCGGAGCCGCCCATCCAGCCGGGGGCCCGGAGGACAGAGGCATGAATACGTCATGGCGTGCGAAACCCCCAAGTCCAGCATCTTCCTGCAGCTCAGGGGCAGCCGCCGGCTCCGGGCGACCTGCTGCGGGGGCCGCGCTCCGGGACCCGGGGACTCCGGGCCGCAGGCGGGCCGCTCCCGCACCCGCGCGGGGTGAGTATGCGAGCCATCGGCTGCACCCGAAGCCGCCCGCGCCGGCCGGGTGGGCGTGACGCCATGACGTAGGCACGCGGGCGGCGCGGGGGGCGGGGCGGGGGCGGAGGGGGCGGGGACAGCGGGGGCGGAGGCAGGGCGGGCGGGGGAGAATGGCAGTTGCGGCGCTGGTTCCCGGGAGCGGCCGTTGAGACTGAGCTGCGGAGGAGGAGCTGGGGAAAGCGGCCGTCGGGACCCCTCCTCTCCGTCCCCCCGCCCCGGTTGAGAGGCGCCTCGGCGCGTCTTCGGGACCCTCCTCCATACTTCCTCCTGCTCCGCCGCCGCCGCCGCCGCGAGAGGGGCCTGCTGGCCCGCCACCCGCGCCCGCCGCCCTGAGGAGTTGAAGGTACGGGAGGGGACGAGCGGAGGCTACGCCCGGGAGCGGGAGGGCAGGGGCGGCTCCCGCTTCCGATCCAAGGCGCTCTGGCCCCCCGCTGCCTCCGCGCCCCTCCCCGGGACGGAAATGGATTCGGAAATGCCTCGGGAGAGGCGCCCCCGCCGGTGCTCCGCGCGGGGCCGGGGCCGGCGCTGGCCCGGGGTCAGGCCTCGGTCTAGTTCCGCGCCCGCCGCCCGGCCCTGCGTTGGCGCCCGGGTGGCCGCGGCCCGGGGCGGAGCGTGGGAGCCGCCCGAGCCCCGTGCGAGCCGTCCGGGGGCGGCCGCCCTGCGGGATGGTGACGGGCCGGGGCGGCGCTCCCCTCGGCACCGACTGCCCCGGCCGCGGGGGGACCCGGCGGGCGGCGGGGGCGGAGCGCATTCCTGACGGGTGAAATCGGCTCTAACGGGACCCGTTTCCGGGCCTGGCTGCAAATGAGGAGCCGGGGCCTGCGCCCCCCAACTCCCGCTGCGGGGGCGCGAGGGGGAGGGAGGCCATGCACCGGGGGAGGCTCCTGCGAGAAGACCGCCAAGCGCTTCCAAAGCAGAAATTTCACCGATGGAAAGGGTGCCGTCTTGGGGTCAAGCATGTGTTAAGGGGGGCCCATCAGGATTGTCTCCCTCCTGCCAAATCTTCAGGGAGTCCCCAGCCTCCCCCCAGCGAGGAAGGCCACTATGTTTAATTTGCATTTTCTCCCTGTCATCGGAGTTCCCTTCTACCATTGTTCCTTCCCTGTCCCTTCATGGGAAGAAAAGAAGTTTAGGGTTCAGTAAACCTACGACAAGGGCAGTAAAAAAAAAAAAAAAAAAAAAAAAAAAAAGAAGAAGAAGAAGGGGAGAGAGTGGTTAAGGCTGTAAATGGGGGAAAGGAAGGTCTCGCCCTGGCCGCTGTGGCTCAGGTGGTTGAACGTTGTCCGGATTCCCCGTTAGGGCACCTCCCAGGTTTCGGGGCTTCGATCCCCTGTCCCGGAACATATGGGAGGCAA